CCTTGGCTGTGAAGGGTGGCATTGTCCCGCTTGTCGAGGCGCATGACGACAGCAGGGCTCGGTGGACAGCGAACCTGACGGTGTCGAGCGACGCGGAGGACATCCGCAGTTGCGGACCACCGCCGGCGGAGCTAATGTTCAAGGGGGGATCTGTCATCGCTGAGGGCTTGGCCGCACATGCCCGCAGTCGCGGCTATCCGTCTTGGGTGAGCACGGCGACGTCCGAGAAGGGGTCCTACCGCGCAGACGACGTTGTATCATTCTTGCAGCGGCACTTGCGGGCCTGGCCCGACGACCCGCAGTTGCGGGGAAAGTGGCGCATCCTCATGGCCGACGACCATTCCCCGCACAAAGCAGACGCTGTGCGGAGACTCGCCTGGCAGCGCGGCTACGTGCTGATCATTCACGGCGGGGGGACGACCGCAGTTGCGCAGCCCGTGGACACGGACTTGAACCAGCACGTGAAGCGCCGGTACATTGCCCTCGAGACCAAAGCGCTGGTGCAGCAAATGGCGTTGGGGAAGCACGTGCCGCAGTTGCGGCGTTCCGATTGCGCCGACTTGATGCTGTCAGTGTTGGAGAATGTGCAGTTGCACTTGGACGCCGCGAAAGGTTTCCTGAAAGTGGGAATTCGAGCGCCCTTCGACAAGTCAGGAGATCTCGAGATTTGCCGAGAGGCGGCGGAACTCTGGGAAGCAGGGGGGCTGCGAGCAAAAGTGGACACCGCAGTCGCGGAGGTGAGGGAAGAATGCGAGCAGAAACGTTTGAAATGGTCCTACAATGACGTGCTGCGTCTCATACACGAATACGAGAAACACGACGCCACAGATTCCGTGTTGGAGAAGCTCGGCGACGAAGCGCTAGGCCAGGAGCCAGGCCACGAGGAGGGCGATGAGGAGGGCGGGGAGGAGGAGGAGGAGGAGGTGCACGAGGAGCACGAGGAGGACGAAGAGCAAGAGGAGGCCTCGTGGGCCGAGGCTCTTGCGGAACAGTGCGATGCCGCAGTTGCGGCACCTGGGCCTCAAGGATCCTCGGTATCCATGGACTGCGTGGTCGACGCAGAGGCGGCCGAGCAGGTGGCAGTGGCGACGTCCTTGGCAGAAACGCTCCGCGAGGCGGAAGATATGCTGCGCCAAGTGGGCATGGAGAAACTAGCGCAGGATTGCCGACAGCAACGACACAAACAAAAGAAGCGGTTGAGAGAGCTGGCGCGGGAGGACAACGAGGTCCTACGAGCGTTGACTGCCCAGCGAGACCACGAAGCCGCAGTGGTGGCGAAAAAGCGGCGCCTGGCTCTGGAAGCGAACGACAGGACGAAGGCGTTGCACGATCTCAAGAAGCAGATTCGAGAGGCCGAGGCCGCCTTGAGGGCAAAGAAGGAGGCCGCAGTTGCGGTGGAAACGGCTTTGGCTAACAAACACGCCCTAGCGCAGTGGAATCCCGAGGAGTTCAAGATCAAGAAAAACAGGATGGCAGCTCTGGATCGCCTGGCTCGCGGAAAAGGCGTCCTCTCAGACGAGCAGAGGGGGGAGTGGGCATGGTTCAAGACGCATTGGGACGAGGAGATGTGCAAGCAGCACAAGGAGCAATGGCCGCTCACGTTTGCTGGGTGGCTGCAAAAAGTCGCGAACGACGCGGCGTCTGGGAACCGTTCGGCGCTGTCGCAGTTCGTGCATTCGGAAACAGTGAGAACCCTGGGAGGGCAAATGGCGCTGGTAATCCCAGCCCTAGCGTGATGCAGGCCGCAGTTGCGGACCCACAGGAAGTCCAGAGGGAAGTTGTTTTTCCAAGCGGCTCCCGCGCGGGCAGGAGATGAGGCAAAACCGCAGTTGCGGTCTTCCTGCTGCTGTGAAAATAATCCTTTCACAGTCCCTTGCAATCGTCGCCCTCCTTCTGCTTCTCCGCCAGTCCATTTGTTGTTCTTTCGGTTCCTTTGAGTCCTCGCCCTCCTTCTGCCACTCCTCGAATCCTCTTTGTCTCCTCCCTCCATCCGACCCCATGCCCATTCACGATCCATTTCCGTAGCCACCGTGGCTCGAGGTGGCGCACGCGAAGACGCAAGCATGTGGCCGCCCGCGCGCCCGAGCGCATCCTCAGGGAGTATGGACCGTGGATTCGATTCGCCAGAACGGTGTTCATCCACAACGCTGAGGAGGAGGAGGGAGGCAAAGACGAGGAAGCCGCAGTTGCGGATGATGACGACGACCAGCGGACGCAAGATGGCGACAGCACCGTCGCGTCCTCGGCTGCCTCCGCTGACGAGGCTGAGTCCCGGGGAGGTGCGGGAGCCGCAGTTGCGGCAGCACATGACTCCTACATGCCGAGAGTGTTGTCGTCGCGGAGAACCTGGAAACGGGTGCCCATCATCGAGACAAGCAATCTGTCGGAAAAACAAAGAGCTCTTGTCGACGCATGGGAGGAGAAAACGGAGTTCGAAGCGGGACGGGTCGGCTTCTACGTGGCCAACTTCGGAGGGACTGCAGCTAGACCCACGCAACGCGCGGACGAGTGGGCGCAGCTCCGCGCGAACCCTGCCCAGATCATCGCCCTCTGCGAGTGCGACGACGAGACCTGCGCGGTACTCAGTGGGGAGCACGACGCGAGGGACAGTGCAGCCGCAGTTGCGGACGATAGGTTTCGGAGTCGGACTCAATACAACTACCTGTGCGTTAAGGGCGGCGAGCCATCAGGGACCCTCCTTGTTGGCATGAGGGACCGCAGTGGCGGCCACATTGAACACGTAGACTTTGCGAGACTCTTCCACAAGCAGGAGAAGTCCAAAACGAAGAAGAAGAAGAAACAGTCCGCAGTTGCGGAGGCTCCTGCGCCAAAGCTGCACAACAAGTACTCCAGGGCGATGGTGGTGCGCGTCCACCTGGACCAGGCCGTGCCCCATTTGGGGGGCTCCTTCAACGTCATGGCGGTGCACGTCCACCACAGCTTGGCCAACCAAGACTGGGGCGTCACGAAGCTCCATGAGTTCTACAACTGGTTCGTCGCCTACGTCAGGGAATGGGACGTGAAGGTCTGCATGGGGGACTTCAACATGTGCATGTTCCAGCTTGTGTCCTGGTGCCGCAATTGCGGCCTGACTGTGGACGTCGCCGCGTGGACCCCCTGGAAGACAGCAGGCGGCCAGCCCAGGGCAGACAGCATGGCGATTTTGTTCATAAACTGTCCTGGGCAGTACAAGCTTCACCATGGCCTGAGTGTTCTGCACGACCGTGAGGGCGGATTCTTGACGACCCAGCATGATCCGTCTTTCCCTGTCTTCGACTACACGAATGGCCCTGGGAAGATGCTTCAGACTTACGTGCCCAAGGCTGAGCCCGTTGAAAACAAGATGCGCGCCTTCCTGACGCCATCTGGCGAATCCTTGACCGCAGATGCGGAGTTCGAGCAAAGGATGGCGCGCAGGGAACGCGACGATTGGGTGCGCTATCCCTTCAGAGTGAAGCAGGGCAACCTCGACGACAAGATATGGCATGGCGCCTTCGGCAGGGCGAGGCACGGAGCGCACTTCCCTCTGGTGGCTTTCACGCACAATACGTGCCGCAGGTCACCTGAAAGACTCGCCGCGAGGTTGGAACGCAGGAAGGGCGGCAGGAAGGGCGGCAAGAAGGGCGGCAAGAAGGGCAGCTACGCGGACACCGCAGTTGCGGGGAAGGGCGTCCGACCCCAGATGGGAACCGCAGTTGCGGGGAGAGACGCTGGGGCTGAGCGAGCTGGGAACACGCCACCGCCGCAAGCTGCCAACGGCGACGATGCGACCCCTTCTTGTGCCGCAGTGGCGGCTGGGTCCTGGGACGCCAGCGGCAGCGGCGCATGGGAGGCGCGCAGTCCCGCCACGAGATGGCAGGGCTGGTCCTGGTGGGACTGGAGCTCGAGCGAATGGGGCGCTGATGGCGCGCAGTGGTGGCCCTCTGATCATGCCGCAGTTGCGGACAATGCCCCTGAGGGCTCGCCTCCTCAGCGTGAAGTCGAGTGGGGCTCGAGCGGGCGACCTGCCGAGCGCCCTCCGTGGAGCTTCGAGGCGCAGCGTTGGTGATGGCCGCAGTTGCGGGCAAGTGGAGCATGATGTTGATTGCCGCAGTTGCGGACAGTGTACGCTGGAAAAATCATCATCATCATCAATCATAATCATCATCATATCATCATATCATACGTTCAAAGCAGTGCCGGGGCACTGCTTTGAACGCGTTCAAAGCAGTGCCGGGGCACTGCTTTCGATCGTCGCCTCGTCGCCGTTATAAGGGCTATCGGATTACGTTGGAGGAGGTGGCAGATGAGCAGGAGGAGCAGAAGGAGGACAAGGATGGAGGAGGACGAGGACAGCAGCAGCAGGAGGAGCTGGAGCAGAAGGAGCGGGAGGAGCAGGAGGACCGTGGGAAGGCGGAGGGGGGAAAGGATGGAGGCGACAACGATGAGGAAAAATATCGGGATCCATGAAAGAAAGGTCCGCGCGCCATTCGAAAATGTGGCCAGCCCTGCAGCGGCAGCCATAATTTGAGACTCCGAAGAGGTTCCGATTGAAACAACAGTAGAAAAGATTAGGTTCGAAAATCCTAAGTGTGAGCAGTACGCGGAAGGGGGGCTGGCCCTTCCCAGGCCATCATCGGGGGAGAAGTCTTATCCGGGTTGAGAACTGGTGGAGGAGAGGGACACTGCAACAAAAATGCCGGCTGCGCGCCCGGGGGGGAAGTGAGAGGGAGCAAGCTTTCTCAGAAGTCGGCGGGGCTTCTCGAAAACCCTTGCGGTTTCTGAGAAGTCTTCGGAAGATTTGTTTCCGAAGACAGGGACGGCGTCTCAGAAGGCGCGAGGTTTTCTCAGCAGCCTCTCCGCCTTCAGAAAAACAGCCTGCCTTCCCCCTGGCTCGCCGCCACAAAAAGGACAAGAATGTTGATGCCATCGAGTGACGGGCCATTGCCATCTCTAAAACAGGAGAGCGGGACGGAGAAGGAGAAGGAGGAGGTCATGAATGGGGGAGGGGGAGTCGAGAGGATGACACGGACATGCCCACGGCGTTCAGCTGGGGTCACTTGGATGCCATCAGTACGCCCACGGACCAGGGCCAGCGCTGCACTTAGCGCGCCCCTGAACAGCAAGTCGCGTCTATGCTAACAGGTTTCGTGCACGCTGTTTTCCTAAATAGTTATCGTTGGTGCTGGGTTCCGCTACTGGTTTCGACCGCTTCCGAACGTCATTCGCACCCCAAGACCCCGCCAGTTTCCCGTCCCCTCCCCCATGTTCGTGTCGTGCATACTCTCGTCCATGTCCGTGTTCATTGTCGTTGTTTTGATGTTGTTGTTGCAGAAGGTTGCTCGTCTTGGCGAACCGTTGGTTTACAGTTTTCATTTTGCTTTAGAGCTCTCATCTTTAAAAATTGAGGTGTCTTGACTCTCCCTTCGGTGCCCTTTTGCGCTATTTAAATAAAGTGCTCCTCCCGGGGCTCGCACCTTGCTCTTTTTCAAGGGAAAGTCTTGGGCCTCAGAATGGGCTGCTGGGCCCCGAGCTCCAACAGCTCCGGCATCCTGCCTGATTTGTCCTCACAACGTATTTTGAAGTCGCGCTCTCGCGCAGGACTTCCTTGCAATTTATCAAAGAACCGCGCTCTCGCGTTGTACTCCCTCTCAATGTACTGCGGCGCCGTGCCCCCAACACTCAGGAATCACGCTCCAAGTGTGGATTTCCTCACGATGTGTTTGGGAATCGCGCCATAGCTCGAAACTCCCGTGCGATTCATATTGGGTTGACGCTTCAGCGACCCGCCCGCTCGACCCGACCGTCTGGGCCCGCCCGCCCGACCTGCCCGTTAGGGTCCGCCCGCCCGACCCGCCCGTCTGGTTTTGCCTCTCGCACCCCTGCTCCGAAACTAGGGGGCCGCGAACCCTACCCCTACCCCCCACGATTTTTGAGGGGGAGGATGGAGTTCACTTCGCTCGGGAGCTCCCGAAAGAAGTGAACCCCACCCTCCCCCTCAAAAATCGTGGGGGTAGGGGTAGGGTTCGCATGTGGCCCCCTAGATTCCCTTCTCATGCAAGTCTCACTCGTACTCCACCCTTCTCCCTTCCCTCTCGCCCTCCTTCTTCCTCCCTTCCCTCTCCCCCTCCCTTCTCTCTCCTCCGTCACCCTTCTCTCTCCCCCTCCCTTCTCTCTCCCCCTCCCTTCCCTCTCCCCTTCACCCTTCTCCCTTCCCTCTCCCCCTCCTCCCTTCTCCCTCTCTCGTGCTCCACACTTCTCCCTCTCCGGGTCTCGTCCCTCCTTCCTTCCCTCCCCTGTTCTAGGGGCGGCGCCATTTACATGTGGCAGGTAGGAAAGATATCGCCCCCAAAGGGGGTACGATCGAAGACGAGAAGAGCTGGCATCAGGGACTTGAGATCGGCGTGTTGCGTGACACGCGAGCCAATGAGAACGAACAGTCTTAAAATGAGTGTGTCCGTTTGTGTAGTGGTTGTGGTTGGTCTTGTTGGTGGTGTTGCTGTTAATATTGTTCTTGGAAGTGTTGTTGTAGTTGTGATTGTTGTTGTTTGCGTTGTCATCGTTGTTGTTAATGCTGCTGATGTTATTGTTGTTGAGCTTTCACTTCTCCAGAATACTACATGTTGACCCCCCCTCCGGCAACCATCGTTTTTCAAGTAAAGTGTTTCTCCTGGAGCTTGCACCCTGTATGTTTACAAGGGAAAGCGAGGGGTCACCAAACGTGGCCCTTGGCCCCCGGTTTACAACAACAACGGATCCCGCCTGATATGTTCTCACATGTTTTTCCTAGATCGCTCTTTCGCGAGGGACGCCCTCAGAATTTGTCCTGGACGTGCGCTCTCGCGTGTGACTTCCTCGCAATTTATTCGGGTGCCGTGCACTCTGGAATCACGCTCTCGCTGTGGATTTTCTCACGATTTTGGCATCGCTCGGACACGTGTATTTTTCCTTCGGCGAGGACCATCGAGGAGCATCCTTGATCATTTGGCGAAAAGACCACGCACGAAACCGAAAAAAACACAGGGAATGGACGTCCGAGCGATGGCCAGCGATGTATTTGGGAGTCGCGCTATCGCTCGAGACTCGAGCCTTCCTCGCGACCCATGCGGGCAGCACGCTTCCGCAGTCTGCCCGCTCGACCCGGCCGCCCGGGCCCGCCCTTCCTCAGGAGGGAAAGAACCACGCAGACACAATTAATCGGCGATTCCCAGAAAATATGGGAAAATATGGGAAGTGGGGGGGAAGACAAACACCCAGAAAATATAGGAAAATATGGGGAATCCTTGGATTTGTGTGTATTTATTTGTGTGTCCTGGGGCCCCTTCACTTCCGACCTGCCCGTTGAGCGTCTGCCCAGATCTGCCCGTCCGGTTTTGCCGCGCGATTCTGCTCCCAGCCCCCCCTCCTGCTACGCTCCATCCCCCTCCATCCTCCTCCATCCTCCTCCATCCTCCATCCTCCTCCCTCCTCCCTCCTCCTCCTCCTCCTCCTCCTCCACCTCCTCCTCTTCACGCTGCAGGCAAGAAAGATCTTTACACCCAGGGGCCCAGAGGGGGTACGATCGAAGACGAAGCGGGCGGGTATCGAGGGTTTGGTATATGTGTTGAATGGCCCGCGAACAGGTAAGGGCGACAGTTGTTTTAATTATTTCTGCTCTGTTGTTGCTGTTGTTGTTGTTCTCGTCATCGTTGGCGTTGTCGTTGGCGTTTGCGTTGTCGTTGTCGTCGTTGGTGTTGTTGGTGGTGATGTTGTTGTGGCTGTTTGTGTTATTGCTGTTGTTGGAGTTGTTGGTGCTGTTGTTGCTGTTGGTGTTGTTGTTGGTGGTGGTGGTGCTGTTGGTGTTGTTGGTGTTGTTGTTGCTGTTGCTGTTGCTGTTGCTGTTGCTGTTGTTGTTGTTCCCCACCCGACAGGTTGGGGTTGTTAGAGTTCAAGAACAGACCCCCCGGCCAACCCCACGCATACCGCGGCCGCCAGACCCCAAGTTGTCCCGAGAGTCCCCGATAGTCCCTGGGACTCCCGCCTCGCGCTCTCGACAAACACGACTGCATACCGCGGCCGCCAGACCCCAAGTTGTCCCGAGAGTCCCCGATAGTCCCTGGGACTCCCGCCTCGCGCCTTCGACAAACACGAAAACATAGCAATACACAACATAACGTGACAGAACATAACATGGCAAAACCATGACAAGCACATCGTAATATGTCAGCACGAAGCACATCATGGCAGAACATTGCAGAACACAACACGACATAACACACCATAATATAACAGGGCCGAACATAACATAACACACCTTGACGGAACATATCATACCATTACACAGCGTTCAGACCATGTCATAACACGCCAACAGAGCATAGCGACGAACACGACAGACCACGCCAGGCCACAATTTAGTATCACAGAACAAGACACGATCATAGCATACCATGACGGGACATCATATGGCAGTATCATTACAAAACAGACCATCACATACCATTACATAACATGCCCTATCATGTCATGATAGAATAGCACAACATAGTAGACAGACGACGACAAAACATAACCGATCATGACAGAGCATGTCAGAACAATGCATCGCATGAGACAACATAACACATCATAACATCACATCACAAACATGACATAACATACCATAGCAACACATGACACACTAGAGCATAACGTAACATCACAACACATACCATGGCAGAACATTGCAGAGCAGAACATGACATAACACACCATAACATCACAGGACCGAGCATACCATAACACACCTTGACGGAACACACCATATCACGACACAGCGTTCGGAACATGCCATAATACGCCAACCGAGCAGAGTGACGAACACGACAGAACACAACACGTCACAATAGAAGATAACATATCACAACGCGATCATGCCATAACATGAGTATCATGACAGACCAGACCAGTACATAACATCACATAACGTACCACATCATATCATGCACAACACAGTAGACATAATACGATATATCATAACATAGCATGGCATAGCATGACAAAACAATGTGTGTCATCAAAGAACAGTGCGCAATATAACGCCACATAACAAACCAGAGCAGGACGTCACATAACAGCGAGCCGCAGAACATCAGAGAACAAACCAAACCAGAGCACAAGAAACATCACAGAACAAACCAAAACCAGGCCAGACCCCCAGTTGTCCCGAGAATGTCCGAGTCCTTGCCGCCGCCCCGCTGCGGGCGGCCTCCTCGCCTGCGCCCCTCAGTCTAAGGACGGGTGGGGGGAAGAAGAGAAGGAGGAGGAGAAGGAGGCATGGGGCAGGAGGAGGAGGAGGACAGGGGCCCAAGGTTTCGGTGGGGATCGCTCGAAGCAGTTCATTGTTGAATTTTCATTTCTGGAAAAAAAATATTGTTGATCCCCCCTCACCGGTGCAGATTGTTTTTCCTCAACAAAGTGTGCCCCTCGACGCTCGTGCCCTGTTTTTTGTCAGGGAAAGTATTCCTTGTCAAACTGTGCCCCTGGCCCCCCGGACTACAACAACAACAACGGCTCCCGCCTTAGACTTCCTCCAAATCTACTCAAGGCTCAAGGCCCCTCCTCCCGTCTGAGACTTCCCCCCAATTTACTCAGGAACGGCGCTCCCGCTTGAGACTTCCTCACAATTTAGTCAGGACCCCCCTCCCGTCTGAGGCATCCTCACAATTTACTCAAGAACGGAGCTCCCGCTTAAGATTTCCTTGCGCTTTAGTCTAGACCCCCGCTCCCGACAGACATCCCCTTTCCAGGAATTGCGCTCTCGCTTGCGACTTTTTCGCAGTTCATTCAGAAGTCGCGATATCTACGCTCAGGCACCACGCTCGCTCCAAGGACGCCGTCGCACTTTACTTAGGAATCGCGCTCTCGCCCTACTCAGGCATCCCGCTTGAATATCCCACCCGCCCGACCCGACCGTCAGAGGATCGCCCGCCCGTCGTGGGCTGCCGCCCGAGACTTCCTTGTGGAATGGCTCTTTCGCTTAGGAATTCTTCGAACGTTCGCACTCTTACCTTCCTGCTCCTCCCTCCTCCCGGGCCGCCTCCCCCCTCCTTCCGATTCCCTCTCCCTCGCACGTCAGCTGATGTTGAATTTTCATTCATGCAGAATGATTTCTGTTGGTTCCCCCCACCGGTGCGCATGGTTTTTTCTCAGTCAAAGTGCGCCTCTCGACGCTCGCACCCTGTTCATTTGACAGGGAAAGTCATCCGGGCAAAACTGTGCCCCTGGGCCCACGGCTACAACAACAACGGCTCCCGCCTCCGACGCGCCCAGTGAGGCCCCGCCACGCTGCCCACAGAGGCCCCTGCCGCAGCCCACAGAGGCCCCGAACGCGCCCACAGAGGTCCCGCCAAATTGCCCACTCAGGCCCCAAAACCAGCCCACAGAGGCCCCGAACGCGTCCACGGAGGCCCCGCCACGCTGCCCACTGAGGCCCTCGGCTCAGCCCACAGAGGCCCCGAACGCGCCCACAGAGGCCCTACCACGCTGCCCACTGAGGCCCTCAACCCAGCCCACAGAGGCCCCGAACGCGCCCACAGAGGCCCCACCCCGCTGCCCACAGAGGCCCCACCCCGCTGCCCACTGAGGCCCCGAACGCGCTTATTGAGGCCCCACCACACTGCCCACAGAGGCCCCACCACGCTGCCCATTGAGGCCCCAGACGCAGCCCACAGAGGCCCCGAACGCGCCCACAGAGGCCCCACCACGCTGCCCACTGAGGCCCCAGACGCAGCCCACAGAGGCCCCGAACGCGCCCACAGAGGCCCCAGCACGCTGCCCATTTCTGAGTCAAAGTGCGCCCCTCGACGCTCGCACCCTGTTTATTTGACAGGGAAAGTCATCCGGGCACAAATCATCGTCGTCCCTCCCTCTTGCCCCTCTAATCCCTCCCTTCGATCCCTTCGTCCTCTCTGTTTGTCTTCTCCCTTTCGTTTCCCTGTTTAGGAGCTTCTACACGTGGCCAGGAAGGAATATAACCCCCCAAAAGAGGGTACGATCGAAGACGAAGAGGGCGGGTATCCAGGATTTGATATATGCATAGTGAATGGCACGCGGGCCGGTAGGAGCGAACGTTATTGAAATGATTGTTGTTGTAGTTATTATTGTTGTTGCTGTTGTTGTTGTTGTTGTTGTTGTTGTTGCTGCTGTGTTGTTGGTGTCGTTTTTGTTGTTGCTGTTGTTCAATAGTGGTCTGCAAATGCCTTGCCCCATCCAGGGCCCATCTGAGGTGCGGTAGCTGCTGGGCCTACGCCGCGGGCGCGGCGCTGAATGCGCACGCCGAGATCAATAACAACAGCCACAGGCACTCGCCATGAACGGGAGGGATCCTGAGGGAAACGGGTCCCATATCCTGGGGCTGTCCCCTGGGCCAGCTCTCCATCCTGAGCCATCTCTGTCACGGTCCTCGGGCCCTCGGAGAGGCCCGAAAACGACGATTAAGCTTCCAGGGCCTCGCTGCCGCAGGACCCGCTACCTTCATCCTACGAGGTATTCCTTCGCCCAGATCGTGGCTTGCACCCCCAACCCGCAGCATTGCGGCGGCTCCGGGGGCTGCGACGGGGCCACGGTCACGCTGGCCTACGAGTACGCGATGGCGGCCGGCCTCAGGCTGGACGTGGATTTCCCGTCGAAGCCAGGGGGTTCGCAGGCGGCGTGCCGCTACCCTCCTGTTCCTCATGTTCCTCCTCCTCCTCCTCGTCCTCCTTCTCCTTTTTCCTCCTCCTCCTCCTCCTCCTCGTCCTCTTCCTCCTTCTCCTCCTCCTCTGTGCCGTGCGCAAGGGGTGGTTGCTGGACCTGTCGTGCCTTTCTTCGTCCTCCCCCCCTCCTTCCTCTTCCTGGCTGCATCCCCCTCCCTGTGGCTTCCTCGGGCCTGCATCGGGCGTCCTGCCTCCTCCCCCCTCCTGCTCCTCCCCTTCTGGTCTTCATCGCCTTCCTGCCCCACGATCACCCCCCCTTCTCTTCCTCTCTCCCTCCATCCCTCTCTCTCTCTCTCTCTCTTTCTAGTCTCGATTCGAGAGCGCTCTGCACTCAGGGCGAAACCGCGACACGTAACTGTCCGCGCCTCCAGCCCAGTGAGATAGTAACCATGTCCATATACGGTGTCGGTACGTGCCACAATCCCTTTCTTCCGCGCGCGCGTCATGGCTTCGAAAGGCCCACGCCGAACGCCCTGTTCAACACCACAGCCCAAGCCACCAGGTAAGGGCCGCCCATCACAGGCTACCTTAACGGATCGGCGTGATACCAATTTCAGTCGAAAGCAAGTTTGCGTCGTTACATTCCAGAGCAGTGGTGGCGTCGACCGAGCAGCCGTTACCTACAACGACGTTTCTCACAAGTGCCAAGTTTGGGGGCGAATTGATGAAACTGTGCGGGACTAACAACATCAGCTTCACCATGCTGCGCGAATCGCCCGTGCGCAAAACGGGCTTCAGCCACGGCGCACCAGGGTCCGTGGTTTCCACCGGCGCCCACCAAGGCAACAGCATTGTCCTTCTCATCAGCCTGGGCGCACTAAACTGGGACGTCCCCGTCACATTCGCCCCCACACAGGGCGGAGTTCGGGACATCATGTACCATTCGCATCTCGCTCCACTCGTTGGAAGAGGGGGCCGCTTCCTGCAACTGATCCTTCGGCAGGACAAACCCTTCGCACGAGCATCCATGGGACCGATCAGCTCCGACCCCCCAGGCAAAGAGACCCTCAGACCCGTCCTCCGACAGATGGCGAAGGCTGCCAAGCCCAAGTCAGGACATGCAAACGGAGCCATCTATCAAGCGGGCCGCGCCGAGGTCAACTGCCCCCAAAACGTGGCGCAGGTCACCCTCAACCCAGCCGACGGTGCCAGCTGTCCCTCTCTTGGGCCCCTTCTGGGGGCCGTCTTGCTGCCCCCTTGGGCCGTCTTGAGCGCCTCTTGGGCCGTCTTGAGGCTGTTGAAACCGTCTTGGGGGCCTCTCAGCCCGCCTTTCAGCGCCAGAGTGCCGGGAAGGCGAGAGCGCCCACACATCTTTCGAAAACCTCTTGGAGAAAATCAGGGATGTTTGCCTTTGGGGGCCCTCCTGGGAGTGCTCCTGGAGGTCTCTTGGAGCGTCTTGGACGCGCCTTGAGCCATCTTGGGCGCCCTGGAAAGATCGTTCGGCGACCCGTCGCCTCTTTGGGCCGTCTTGGGGACCTCGTCGGGTCCTCTTGGCCTGTCTTGGGGTCGTCTTGGACCCGAGATATGCGTGCGACAATTCGCAATTGACGCACGCAGATGATCCAGGGCCCAGAGATCCAACGCATTGAAAAAATCAAGTCGTAGGTTTTTACCTAACAGCGAAGACTGATAGGTTTCTAGTGGGCTAAAAAGAGCTCACAGATCACTCCACAGGGGGGTCCGGGCAGGTGTTGGGAGTTGCCGGGCGGGCCTGTGACGAACTCGTTTTTCACCAACAGTCACACACTTCGTGCTCTTCGAGTTCCCAGAACTCCATTCCCAGGCTCATTCTGAATAACCGGATGCAACAGTCACACACTTCGTGCTCTTCGAGATCCCAGAACTCCATTCCCGGGCCACATTTTGGATGCCCGGAGCAACTGTAGGCCACTTCGTGCTCTTCGAGTTCCCAGAACTCCATTCCCGGGCCACATTTTGGATGCCCGGAGCCAACTGTAGGCCACTTCGTGCTCTTCGAGTTCCCAGAACTCCATTCCCGGGCCACATTTTGAATGCCCGGAGCCAACTGTAGGCCACTTCGTGCTCTTCGAGTTCCCAGAACTCCATTCCCGGGCCACATTTTGAATGCCCGGAGCCAACTGTAGGCCACTTCGTGCTCTTCGAGTTCCCAGAACTCCATTCCCGGGCCACATTTTGAATGCCCGTAGCCAACTGTAGGCAACTTCGTGCTCTTCGACTTCCCAGAACTCCCATTCCTGGGCCACATTTTCAGCAGGGGCAAGAGCACGACGAGGAGGAGGACGAGCAAGACCAGGAGGACGAGGACGAGCAGGAGCAGGACGAGGAGCAGGAGGAGCAGGAGAAGAAGGACGAGCAGGAGGAGGAGGAGGACGAGCAGGAGGAGGAGGACGACCAGGAGGAGGAGGACGACCAGGAAGAGGAGGAGGAGGAGGAGGGGAGGGGGAGGAGTACCAGGAGGAGGAGGAGGAGGAGGAGGGGAGGAGGAGGAAGAGGAGGAGGAGGAGGAGGAGTAGGAGGGAACCCCAACAACAACCGAACGACCACAACCCAAACGAACACGAGTACGAGGACCAACACAAAACCAATAAAACGACGAACACCCACCACAGGACGAGGAGGAGGAGGAGGAGGGGGGGGAGGGAGAGTACCAGGAGGAGGAGAACGAGGACCACCAGGAGGAGGAGGAGGAGGAGGAGGAGGAGGAGGAGGAGAGAACACCAGGAGGAGGAGGACGAGCAAGACGAGGAGGACGAGAACGAGGACGACCAGGAAGAGGAGGAGGAGGAGGAGGAGGGGAGGGGGAGGACTACCAGGAGGAGGAGGAGGAGGAGGAGGAGGAGGAGGAGGAAGAGGAGGAGGAGGACGAGGAGGAGGAGGAGGAGGACGAGGAGGAGGAGGTGGGGGGAGAGCACCAGGAGGAGGAGAACGAGGACCACCAGGAGGAGGAGGAGGAGGAGGAGGAGGAGGAGGAGGAGGAGGAGAGAGCACCAGGAGGAGGAGGACGAGCAAGGCGAGGAGGACGAGAACGAGGACGAGCAGGAGGAAGAGGAGGAGGAGGAGGAGGAGCAGGAGAAAGAGGAGGAGGAAGAGGAGGAGGCAGGCTGAGGCTGAGGCTGTGACTGCGACTGCCGTTGCCGCTGCGACTGTCATCGCGAATGCGACTACGAATGCGAGAACAGCAGAATTCTACAACTGGATTTTCATCTGAATCTTAAGGGGAATGCTTTCAGATATGCTTCTACACATCGCTGTTAGGTTGCTTTGCCGGGATAATTTACCTAACAGCGAAGACTGATAGGTTTCTAATGGGCTAAAAAGAGAGCAGCAGATGACTCCACAGGGGGGTCTGGGCGGGTTGGGGAGTGCCGGGCGGGCCTGGGACGAACTCGTTTTCACCAACAGTCAACCACACTTCGTGATCTTCGAGTTCCCGAACTCCATTCCGGCTCATTTCTGAATAACCGACTGCAACAGTACACAATTCGTTTTTTTTTTTTTTCATTGCTCTTCGGAGACCCATGGAACGCAATTCCCGGGCCCCACCTTTAGAATAACGGAGCAACAGGTCACACACTTCGGCTCTTCGAAGTTCCAGAACTCCATTCCCGGGCCACATTTTGGATGCCCGGAGCCAACTGTAGGCCACTTCGTGCTCTTGGATTTCCCAGAACTCCATTCCCGGGCCACATTTTGGATGCCCGGAGCCAACTGTAGGCCACTTCGTGCTCTTCGAGTTCCAGAACTCCATTCCCGGGCCACATTTTGAATGCCCGGAGCCAACTGTAGGCCACTTCGTGCTCTTCGAGTTCCCAGAACTCCATTCCCGGGCCACATTTTGAATGCCCGTAGCAACTGTAGGCAACTTCGTGCTCTTCGACTTCCCAGAACTCCCATTCCTGGGCCACATTTTCAGCAGGGGCAAGAGCACGACGAGGAGGAGGACGAGCAAGACCAGGAGGACGAGGACGAGCAGGAGCAGGACGAGGAGCAGGAGGAGGGGGGGCAGGAGAAGAAGGACGAGAGGAGGAGGAGGAGGAACGAGCAGGAGGAGGAGGACGACCGGAGGAGGAGGAGACAAGGAAGAGGAGGAGGAGGAGGAGGAGGAGGGGAGGGGAGGAGTACAAGCAGGAGGAGGAGGAGGAGGAGGAGGAGGAGGAGGAGGAGGAAGAGGAGGAGGAGGAGGACGAGGACGAGGACGAGGAGGAGGAGGAGGAGGGGGGGGGAGAGTACCAGGAGGAGGAGAACGAGGACCACCAGGAGGAGGAGGAGGAGGAGGAGGAGGAGGAGGAGGAGGAGGAGAGAACACCAGGAGGAGGAGGACGAGCAAGACGAGGAGGACGAGAACGAGGACGACCAGGAAGAGGAGAGGAGGAGGAGGGGAGGGGGAGGACTACCAGGAGGAGGAGGAGGAGGAGGAGGAGGAGGAGGAGGAGGAGGAGGAGGACGAGGAGGAGGAGGAGGAGGACGAGGAGGAGGAGGGGGGGGGAGAGCACCAGGAGGAGGAGAACGAGGACCACCAGGAGGAGGAGGAGGAGGAGGAGGAGGAGGAGAGAGCACCAGGAGGAGGAGGACGAGCAAGACGAGGAGGACGAGAACGAGGACGAGCAGGAGGAAGAGGAGGAGGAGGAGGAGGAGGAGGAGCAGGAGAAAGAGGAGGAGGAGGAGGAGGCAGGCTGAGGCTGAGGCTGTGACTGCGACTGCCGTTGCCGCTGCGACTGTCATCGCGAATGCGACTACGACTGCGAGAACAGCAGAATTCGACAACTGGATTTTCATCTGAATCTTAAGGGGAATGCTTTCAGATATGCTTCTACACATCGCTGTTAGGTTGCTTTGCCGGGATAATCCTGTTTTTCGGCCTCGAGGGGCCCTCGCCGGGCCCCGGGACCGGCAAAACACGACTCAGGATGAAAAACCGGTCCTGGGGAGCACGCGACAAGCCCCGGTAGATTTGAGAATTTGGGGCTCG